AAGAGTGGTGGTGGAAGACCCTTTGTCCAGGGGTGGACACACACACACACACACACACACGACATGACATCACAACACCAAAACACCATTGTTTGGTGTGTGTGTGTGTGTGTTAAACAGCTTCCTGTTTAGAAGACGCATGCATACCATGTCTGCAATGCAAAGGATCTTCCTGCCAGTGGGAGCATTCTGGCAACTTGACACGCAGGATTCAGAAGCATTCTACCTCGCACCCGCTTGTATGCAAATGACATTTGGTGGCATTTAGGTGCAAATGTTTGTACTTAACGCACTCGGATTCTATCTGAAAGCTGTGCCCTTTTTGAACACCACCCTTTCGTTTTTGTTAAGCAATTGTATTCAGCACAGTGAAACAATATCTTCATTGGAGGCAAGCAGGTGTGTTTGAACAACTGGGTTTGAACTGGATTCAATCATGTGTGTTGGTTCTTGCTTGCAAATTGGAGCCTGCACAACAGTGGCACCAACACCGGGCCCACAAACATTGCATTCAAGAATGCCACTCCGTCTCACAAACTGCATTGAACATTGATTTCAGTTCTGGCAGCGGCGAACTTGGTCCCTCGACATGGTAGGTGGGGTTAAGTAAGACAGAGTGAGGTCACGGATTTTAGAGCCGACCCACCAAATGGCAAGAGGATTGTAGGCCACGCCGCATGGATTAGGCGGAAGAGGATCCGTGCGAGATGAGGCAAAAGTTGCCATGGAAGGCCAAGAATTCATTTCACATGCAGTGAGTCAACCGGTAAATAATCAGCTGTGGTGGGAACGTTTCAAGCCATCTTTTCTTGCCCCCAAGAATCCAAAGATGCGTTGAACTTAACGAACCAACCACCGCTTGAGGGGCTCCATTTCAAACAAACTCCCCTAGGGCCGGCTGAAAACACGAACCCTTCGTTACCCTCGGTCTTTTGGACCGTGGTTCCGGTCCTTCCCAGGCCATGCCCGAAAGCTCCACCAACGCCACCAGCTGACCTGAAGGTAGCCGAACCGACCCGCGAGGTGGTCCTCGACCGAGGCGGCTTGGTGGGCCAAGAATTCCGGTGAAAGGACAATCCAACGCCTCCTAGACAGAGGGACGAAAGGGGGGTTTCACAGGTTTGGTGAAACTATTTGGATCCATTTGGACTGTAAAACCATGTAGAAGTTCTTCATTCATGGAGGTTTGAAAGAAGATCAACCATCTACATTCTTCCAGAAGAAACACTTTGAGATGATTCACATAGAAGAGATGAAATGACAGGGTCAAGAACAAGGACTGCCGGATTTCGGGGATTCAAACATTTTTGGGGGGGGCCATCACCCTTCCTGTGCTTCAATATGCCCGTGCCTGGGCGTAAGTCGGCTGCTTTTGGCAGTAGCTGCTTTAAGATCTGCTGCAGCTGGAAGTCGTACCACCCATGCCTTCGACGACTGCACTTCGACAACGGCTTCGACCGGCAGTTTTTGGGATGAAGAAAGACCCACCGATGATGAGTCACCCAGGAAAAAAAAACAAAGACTGGATTGCGATGCATTCAATGGTAACATGGTATATTAGTTCGGTATTCAAATAAATCATAACACAAAAAAACAACGTCTCCGAACAGCGTGGCGCCGCGGCGCCCAATCTTTCATCCCAAAAAGCACCCATGGAAGAGCTGCATACACATACCCCACCCATGCTACTCCTCAAAAAACACAAAACATATCGATGGTCTGGCTATGGATCTTCGATGTTCGACAATTCCAGTTCGGATGCAGAAATCGTTGATCCGGAACAACGGATGGTTCTGTGCCTGTGCTCTGGAGCGAGCGGTAAAGCTGCGCCCAGGCATTTCAGCAGGAGCTCTGGGGAAATGCCTGGTGAAAGCTCCGGTGCACGGAATTTATAGTTCCAAAGAGAAGACAAACGGAGTGAGAGTATCTATTCTGGTGAGTTGCCAGTTAAGTCCAGTTTTTAAGATTCTTGAACCTTTTACAGCCAAACATCGCTCGTCTGCCGCCTCTATGCTGTGGCCGAGAGAGTCTCCTGGCATCAAAGTTGGCTGCTTGCACTGCTATTTTTTGTGCAAGTAAAATAGTTGAAACACTACAGTATTCTAGTGCAAATAATATTTACGTACATATATATATATATGCTACACCCCCCCCCAAAAACCTACCTTTTAGGCAATTGCACTGGTATTTGCAATGATTTGGTGAGATTTCAGAACACAAATTCAAAAGCATAGCAATGGTAATGCTCATGGCATTGCAAATAGTACTGCTATTCACCCTTGACCTGTGGCAATGCTATGTGCGACCTGGATGCCATTCACCATAATGCCGTTTCCCTGTGACCTGTGGAAGCTTGATGTTGATGCTAATAGCAATGGTAGTGCTCATGGCAATGCTAATGGTACTGTTAATGGTCATTCACCCTTGACCTGTGGCAACGGTATGTCGGACATTGATGCCTTTCACCGTAACGCAGTTTTCCCTGTGGGAGCTATGCACCCTGTGACCTGTGAGAGTGGGAGCTTGATGCCGTTCACCCTCGACCTGTGGCAATAGGGATCACAATGGCAATGCCAATTCCTGCGACAATGGTAGTGCAAATGGTGATGGCAATGCAAATGCAATGGTGATGATAATGCCATTCGACCGGTGAGCTGTGGGACCTTGATGCCAATCACCCTGTGACCTGTGGGAGCTTCATGCCATTCACCCTGTGACCTGCGGGAGCTTGATGACCTACAGGTAGTGCCTGTAGTTCCTCGGCAGGGTAGTTCCTCGGGGGGGGGGGGGGCGGCGAAAAAACAATGATACCACCAAAAAGCAAACTTTTTTGTTATTTTTTGCCGACCCCCCCCCTCAGATCCAGTGAACTAGGAAGACTACTACTCACGAGCAAACAACGAGCACCTAACAACACCTACGAGGTCTCGTTCTCAACGTCTGAACACATTCAACATGCAAAGTCCTAAAACAAGCATTTTCGAGAACCCTGGAAAACACACACCCGCATAACGTCCTTTTCTGAAATATATATATATATATATAGATTCCCCTTTCAATGGACTGATAGACTATCATCTCCAAACATGAACTTGTCTAAAAGGTAGGTTTTGGGGGGGTGTACCATATATATATATATATTAATGTATTTGGATACTGCGATGCCTTTCTACCCCTACACTACAGTATGCTCGCAGTATGCTCGGATGACACAAGGACAACTTGTTAGTCCTTGAACATCTGTTTTTGGCACTTCCACCAAACTCGATTGAGCTCGAATCAATTTTCAATGATGCACTCCTTATAATGATGGAGATCAAACATATTCAATCCATTCTTGATTGAGTCTTTTCAAGAGCCCTTGTGATGCAATCACCCAAATCATCTTCAAAGTCTGTCTGACAGCTTAAAGCATTGAACAAGTCTTTCTGCCAGCTTGAAGGATTAAACAAGCAGCCCACAAAGCCAAGGAACCGTTGGAGGACTCGAAGTAAGCCAGTAGCGACTTGTGGCATAGCTGGACATTGCCGGCCTCATCACTTTCAACTGCGAGAGTGACGTGACGGAGTGAGAGAGCGTTGCAGTTGTGTGCCTCAACAAGCTTCTGAAATGTTTGCAATAATAGGTGCCTGGAAACCCAGTCCCAACCAGTGGTGGTTGTTTGGGGAAACATCCATTTGTTTCTGAGGTTGTTTGGGTGTTTTCACGTGTCAGTGTAGAAATTGAGCATACAATAAAATTACAATGATATCATACATTTATATGAAGATGACTATAGGTTCTCAATCAACATTTATCATGGCGAGAAAGTCTAGCCAACCTCTAAGGCTGGCTCATGTATAGGGGTGGTTCAGAAGTGACCGGTACAGTACTCACCAACTGGAAGAAGAGGTCAGCCTGATTCCATGTCATTGGTTTACCAGTATCATGTCATTGTCTTGATGCACTGACACTGACATGAGAACGCACATTTTCGGTGTGACAAATGAGGCTTTGACCCCCGTGGGCGTTGTTGACCTTGTTGGGGTTTGCTTAGTGTGTGAAACTCGATTAAGCCATGGGCAAATCAGCCATACCCTCAGCCAGTTCCAACCATCACAAGGTTCGTCCTGCGCTCCCCAGACCCTTCACTTGCCGAATCAAACACTTGTCTCTAGGCTTTTGAGGAGACCCTTGGGAGGGTTTAGGCTTCCCTGGAGTGTTCTGAGGATTCTGAAAGGGAATTATATAGTGAAATGTTATTTGATCTGAGACCTCGGATGGCCCCCCTTCGCTCGCTTCGCTTCGCTCCTCGCTCCCTCGCCATCGCGCCCCATCGCGCCACCCGCCGAGGGGCCCCATCGCTGGAGGGCGGTGGCCACAGATCCCAGCGAATGCACCGGCCACAGGCATCGCTCCACTGGCGTCGTTTCACGGTGCCATCCACGAGTCCGGTCGTCACATTCGGTGGGACCAATCCTCCCAAGTCCAAGAGAAGGTTGAACATCTCTGAGGTGTCACATTCGGATAAACACCACCCAGAAAAGACCAAAACGCCATGTGAAGGGATGGGCCAAACACCTGGAAGTTGACTCTTGGCCACTACAAGTCTTAAGTGTGACTCCAAAGTCTTCCCAATATTCTCATAGCATCACGGTACTTCAAACGGACATCCATTTTGAAGGCAGTGCAAGACTTCGCCAGCTTCACACTGCGGTGTTCCAAAGAAATCTGGTAATGCAAACTGCAAGAAAAGACCAGCCTTAAACCTCCGGTGGTTGCAGGAGAATACTATAATGTAGAGCCCTAGGAGTGCAGCCCTAGGAAGATTCAGTAGAAGCTAGCTCAAAAACCAAAAACAACGGGTGATCTGTGAATCGGTGCTCCTCCAACAACAAGCCAGGACAAGCAATGAAAGAACGTCCTAGGCGTACAAGCAATGGCCTCCAACCTAATAGCAATGGCCTCTAACCTCATAGCGATGGCCTCCAACCTACTAAAGCCTCAATGAAAATACCCCAAATCTCCCCAGATCGCAAGTCCCAACCACATACACACGTCCTAAACTCCGAAGAGCACATCACACGGAAGTGGATAACCTGTTCCTGAAAGAAAGCACTTGAACCTTAGAAAATGGGACATGACCCCATAAAAGAAACAGGTACTTGTACCCGTTCAAGACCCATTCTCTATTGAACTTTTAGAGTCCAGGTAGTCTTCCAAGTGTCCATGTTCCACTTCCATGTTAGTGAGTCGTCTATGTCAAGAATCTGTTTACTATCATGATCTATCCGTCGCTCACCTGCCAAGTATTCCGCCACAATCTGCATCAGCTCTGATGGCTCCTCCTGGCACATCGACGCACGAGAAGAAATGACTCAACGCATCGACATGGTGCTCGACGCCTCGATCGAATGGGATGCCAAGGTGCAAACATTCTAAACTTCATCCGGTGAAACCAAATGAAGCGACGCAAGTACAGAACCGAACTGGGCACCGTGTGGACTCCCATCGGTGCCCTGTCCATCAATCGATCTAATTTTTGAGCCTCCAGGTGAAAAGAATCCTGGGAGTCGTGATGTACATCGTTTTCTCTCATCCAACATGCTCTACAAAGCACTATAGTTGTGTTCTGATGAGACGGGGCGCGACGGGACAATGATTCCCCTCCGACTTCACCGCCTAATTCTGGCCGTGACGGACTGGGACCGCAAGTCGCGCTATAGTTGTGTTCTTGGCCATCAGTTCCAGAAAGTGTTCAAACCCAAAATTTGGACCAGAAACTGATGAACATTCTGCCCAAGCCTCACACATCCTTCCTAGGCTGTTCATAGGTCCCTTGCTAAAAAGTTTAACATGGTTTATATAACCTTTAGTGGTTTACTAAAAAGATCCATTTAAACCAAAAGGACCAAGGGTCTAAGGGTCGTACGCCTTAGGACAGTCGGACTTCACCCACCCCAAACTGTCCCTTGGCGCTCCCTCTCAGCGCTCCGCGCTCCGTTTCTGGAAGCTCCAATGCCGCCCGCTCCCGCCGGACACGTCTGTTCTGGACCGACGGTTCCCGAGGCTTCGTTCCCGGCCTGGGAGGCCAGCTCCGCGCGCAGCAAACTCAGCAAGGAGCGGTGCAAGACCTGGGAGAGGGCGATGTTTTCGGTGGATTCGAGCGGGAAGAAACGGCGGGAAGGAGGTCTTATGAGGCGGTGTTGGGAGAAGAAACACGTGGAAGGTGTTGGGAAGACATGTGTTTGACCCGGCTTAGTAGTCTAAAATCCTTGGTAAAACAATTGAACCATCCCCATTGCAATGTACCCTAACGGGTCCAGACCCCTGTTGTAGGGTTTTTGGAGCAAAGGGGTATACCCTCAGCCTTACAAAAGGAGTAGGTCTAGGCACAAAGGGCCCCTGGAGATGCCATCTCAATTTGTAGAGAGCTATATATAGACATGTCCAGGGGTCATGCCCGGCAACAGTGTTATAAGGAATTCACTGTTCAATGTGGATTTTGGGCCCAAAACGCATGCCAAAAACGCCCAAACATTCCATTTTGTTTTCGGGCCTGCTGCTGGTTCCTGAAGTAGCGCTCTCTGCCAGCCACACTGATTGGATCCAAGCCTATTCAGACCCCCTTTCTGTAACGAAAAGGTCAGTCCCGAACAGCCCGCACTGCCGACTTCACCAATACCTGTGGCATACAAGCAGGATCCAACAAGTTAAGCCAACTAGCTACCCAGACCGACGACAACCATGATTACCATCCCAGCCTATTCAATCCTATTCAAATCTCACAGGGCACTAATTCCTTACAAAATGACACTGGAAAGTGGTTGCAAGCTTCTTACAAAATGATGATGCGCAACCTAGCCACATTTGTGAGTCCTAAATATTCATATCATACCTTTCTTACAAAGTGTCTTTGTTGACAGTGACAACACTCTTACAGAATGAGAATGCGTTTGTTCCCCATCCGGAAGCGGATACAGAGATAAGGCCCTTGGAGAGAAGGTTTTCCAGTCAAATTATGGACTTCTTCCATCTTCTTGTATGGTTGTCTAGTATCAACTGTTGAACCCTGACAGTCGCCTCCATTATTTCGCCCCAAAATGCCAAGTAGACTCGTAGAAGAATTGAGGCCAGGCGTCCACCGACGGGACGGCCCCGGAATGAGACATGACACATATATGTTGGGTCTATCCAGTAACAGTGGATGATGATGGTTAGCAAAGGCCTTTCTCAAAAATAGTGATAATGTTTTACCGACTGTTACTATGGGCTACACCCTACATATCTGGCTGTAAGATGCTGTAAGAAGGTGCGTGAAGGTATCGAAGATGTGGGAACTGTACCAAGGGACTGAGAACAGCCATGATGAGCGACAGTCGATCAGCCAAGTGGAATAAGGACATGGCCAAAATGATGCGTAGACCATGTCCCTAGCATTCTATCCACCATTCATTTCCAATGGATATTGCCGCACAACAATCGTTTTTACTATATAATGCTGCGGACCTTTTTGGATTTATGAACCTTCCTCATTAATCAAGCCCAGCTCGAGCCCCAATACTAAACTAATTTAAATCCAAAATTTTCAGATTGACATCCCCCAATCCTTTTTCTTGGCAGAAACCTTCCCCTATTAATCAAGCCCAATTGCCCCCCAGAAAAATAACAATGGTTCATGGATGTTCATTGGTATATGATATTGTTCAAAGGTGTTTAAAGCTGCAATCAAGGCTGCCAATCATCTCCCAAGCAATTGTTCCATAATCCTAAAAAACCTCTCTAGCGAAATTGTTGCATGTTCCCGTGTTAAAATATGGTTTTCAAGCTCACAAAGGGTACCCATTACACAGGCATCAGTGTTCACACAGAATCCTCAGAATCCTATCATATCCTATCAACCACCATCCATCATCAGGTCATCACCTTTATTAGGGGGATGTGGTCTCCAATACCTCCAATCTCAAACCTTGTTGACCTTGAACGGGGGGGGCCGTTGATTAATTCGACGATTGCATTAATCCCGAGTACCTATTAAAAAACGGACCCCTATTAAAAAAAAGTCATGCCGGATCCCCCTAAATACGGCTTATACTTGTTTTTAAATTACCGCCCTTTCAAGCCGCTACTAAACTACCAACATTGCCGACTTTGGAGGAGTTTTTTTTATTAGGTTCCAAAAACAACCGTAACTGCCCACCTCTGTCCGCCCTGTCTATCCACCATGACACGCCGCGCTTACACCAGCAGGCTTTCCTTCCCCCAATGGCACGGACTCACGCAAACGCACTTGCCACCGAGGTCATGCAACACCGCATGGCACAGCGACATCACCTTTCGAAAGCTTTAGCTGTTAGTCTACTGAAGAATCACTATTCTAATGAAGGTTTTTGTAGGGGAAAAGGAAGACCCTTCGATCTGGAGCTTTTTTGCATTTTTGATACGAGTTTAATAAAGGATTTTATATAAAACTTTACTGATTTACTTTTTGGTTTTGAAGCTCTTCCCAGGTGACCCTATTTTGGGCCCCCCGATTTCAGGGACCCCCTATTAGAAAAAATGCGACCGAGGTTTCCTTATTAGGGGGGGGGGGTACGTGTTTTTTATTAGGTGGACCGGATTAATTATATATATAAGGGTTTTTTACTCCACAAGCAGGTCCACCATGTCTGAACATGTTTGAAAGGGACGGCCGGGGACCCTGTCGATCTCCTCCCGCAGCGATCGACAGGACTCCGTCATGGTGGTCATGGGTGACCCGCTTCGCCCGTTTCAACGACCCTGGTAGCTTGACCTTCTTATCCAGTGGTCTAACTTCGTTTTCACAACTTTAGAACAGGTCTGCAGCAGCAGGGGTATAAAATGCCTAGCTTTCGTCCCCCTTGGATTCGTTTTCTTAGGCCAAACCCGCTCAACCAGTCGGTCCCTGGTGGGAAGACCCACATGCCGTGCCGCCGCACCGGAGGGGCGTCCACCTCTTCGTTGCACCTGGAGCCGAGCTCGTCCGGAGCGGAATGGTTGACCAGCGGGGGGTCCATGGGGTGGTGATTCCCAAAGGTCCCATGGGGTGGTGTTCAACCTGGTGTGGACGCTTTTTTTAATCCACGAGGTTGAGTATCTTTTCCTTTGGAGATGCAAGGTGGATGGAGATGGTGGGAGATGCTCTCTTGGAGATTTGGGGTCAAGAGCTCACCATAACTCACCATTCGGGCAAGACTGACGTCCAAAAAGAACTCCAAACATCATCTACCAGCATCGTCTGGGAGACCTGTCTGGAGGTCCATGGTAGTGTAGGGTAGTCTAGCAAGGTGACCCAAGCAGGATGATCCAGGTAAGACCAACACTCTAAGCAGCTTCAAGGCTCAAAACGAAAGCACGACCTGCCGTGTCCCTCTTTGCGGAGATGGCGACCACTCGGAGACGGATGGTCATCACCGAGTCACTGTAGATGTTGAAAAAACATGAAAAACCATGTGAAAACTGTCCAACAAAATGATCTGCCCCGGGCCCCGGGCCCCTTCTTTTAGAATTGTTTGTCCTCCGTGATGATGGGTCCATGAATGGGTCAGGCGCCAAGGCATCGTGGTGCGGGCGGTGACACCGGACGTCACGGTGCTGCGCCAGTTCCATTGGTTGCGGCGAATGCGCCTCTTCCCATTCTCCCTCGGGACCCGGGAGCCAAGCCAGCGACCGGCTCCGGAGGGTCGTGACCACCGTTTGGACCAGGGCCTGCAGGAAAGCGAACTCGCGTCGTTGGGAACACGCGTCGTTGGTTTGTACCACTGAGGAAGAAAACAAAGAGGAGAGAACATGGAAATTACTGTAGGGTTTACATGGGTTTACTGTGGTTTACCGTGGGCAGGTGATTTGTTTCCTCTAGTTCTGTGCTTTCAACATCTGGCAACCTACGGTGCGCGACGATGTCTACGCCCGTCCACGCCGAGTCACTGCCCGGCGCAACGGTTTTGCCATGTCACGGTCTTCTCAGTCCATCCCCATCTGGTTGGTGCTTTCAACTGAAAACAACAACATAAGTATCAGTATGAGTCAGTCGGACCAAATCATTCCGAGAAGGTTGAACTTACAAAAACACAACACCCAACCATCAATTTGCTAGAACTCAAAAGAACATTTGTGTCACTTCCTTCCCTAGTGTTTAGCTGGCCTAAAGACTCGTTCCCAAAATGTTCCCAAAGAAACTGAGGGCCGCGCAGTCAAAGTCAGGTCTGACCAAAGCATGCGTGACCAAACGGACTCCAATTCCAAACACGCAGCGATCAAGTGCTGGATTTTCAACACCTACGACAAGGATTGGCCGAGACCCCTGGACCCCTGCCAAAAGCGAAAAAAACAAAAGTTTCCCCTGCGCGGAATGACCAATTCCAACAGTTCTACCAGCTCGTCCGCACTGGTCATTTGGCCAGACCGACCTCGCGCGACTGGAGCCGCGGCTCCAGAACGGCTGAGGCCTCGGACGGAGCCACGGCGGGTTGCTCCCGCCGCGGCGGACGGCTCCGAAAGCAGTGCATGCAACAAGTTGGGGACGGGCGGTTCCACTCTCTTTTTTCCAACCACGTTTACACTGGTTTATAGTATATTACAATTATATTACACTTGTTCAAAAACATGAGCATGTCACAGTGTGTCGAACTCAATTGCGGGATGCCCCCTGTCAACGGCTTGGTGATCTGTTTTCCCACTAAACAATTGTGACTCTGGGTGTCTCCCTGTTTTACGACACGCCTTTTCGGTTTTCTCGAAGGGACAAAGTCTCTGCCGACAGGTGTGAGGCTACCACGTGGTTCAGAAATTCTCTCTATAGCACGCAACCTGCAGCAGCAGCTAATGGTTATAACTTATCACATTCCGCATGAGATTCCATGGCAGGGGTCAGGTGTTGGCATTCTTTAGTGAAATCCCTGCACACCCATCTGACATGGTGTCTGACATGTTCTGACTGTCAAAGGCTTCGGCCGCGAACGAACTGCCCCGGGACTGCCCCGTCCTCCAGCAGCATGGCACAGCGCTGTAGGGTGGCCGGATCCGACGGTGCCTCCGCTTTCCGGCTGGGGGCTGGTCCGGATCAAAGCGTTGGATGAAGATATGATATGATCTGTATAGTATGCCATTGCAGATCATCCATGTAGAATCTGTAGAATCTGTAGTTAGATGGAAGAACACGCAGCCATTGCGGAGAACTCACGTTCTGCTCTTCGCCGCGGAACCGGGAGAGACGCGGAACCGGTGGACCGGGAGAGACGCCCCAGGGAATTCCATTCTGCGTCGAGGAGTCGGAGGCCCTTAGAGTCGTGGGGTCGGTACACCAAATCCCTGTGTTTGCTGTAAAATCCAAAGAGGAATAGCATGTAACCTGTCTTCAAACCCGAGTAGAATCAGTGTCTTTGCCATGGTCCAGCTGCGTAGCTCTTTTGAGCAGGATTGATATACACGGTCATGATCCATGTTGCTAGCAAGTTGTTCTCCACTAGCTCAAGAGCCACACACTGTACCAAAGCACACATTGTGGGTTGCTTTGTTTTTGTTTTTGCGACATCACAAGTCTGGGGCCCACCCTTTGCCCCATTCCTTCCACCCTCATCAAACACAGTCACCCAGGGCGGTTGAGAAGAAAGGATTTACTCACCAGGGAGCCTGACTTGGAGTTTGTCTCCTTGGTCGAACTCTCCCCCGCTCCATATACCTAGATCTTCCAACTATGCAAAAAGTTCTGCCAACTGGGCAGACTTTATAGATGAAAGGCAAACATGTTGTACAGTTGGACGATCCCAATGTAAATGATGGAAGATTGATGGAAGATCCCAACGTAAATGATTAAGATCCCAATGTAAAAGGTAAACATGGATGATTAAGTGTATTACCTAAAACCTGAATGACCTCTATTTCGGACCACCAACCACCCCCAAATATGGCCTTTTCCTATCAAAACAATGGTCATGTCTGGGTTCCAGGTATCTCTTTGTCTCGAAAGACGGTCTGCTCCTCGAAGACGGTCTGCTCGACCACTCGACGTGCTCCTGGACGGCTGGAGAAACACATACGTTCCACCTCTGCCCGTCACACCAGGGAGACACCTGGGTGAAAAGCCAGTGGAGAATGGAAGATTCCATCTTTCAGGCGATCCACTGACGGTGATTCGACACGAAGACACCGTGAACATCCTCTTTTGAAGACCATGTGTGGTGTGGAGCTCCTGGAACCCCAAAGATCTCGTCACGTGAGCAACGTCCAAAACCGCCGGTGCAGGAGCCTTACTTCTGTGGCGTCTATTGCGATGAGACAACTCATTCCTCATCCATTCCGAATGGCCGATCGCTTAGGGGGGAGGGGCCGATCGCATGCATAGATTTATAGGCGTAGTCCGTCCCAAGCCTGTAGCTGGTTGATCTTGTTGCTGTTTCTGGAATCAACACACTCTGTGCCCAATGACGGCGCATCACTGCCCCCCCTGATGCGAAGAACACACCAATTTGACATCTTTCTGATGCTGTTCCAGATCCAGCCACTGCGTCACCAGAACAAACCAGCCGGGGTTCTATATCCCCAGCCTCTCAGCAGAACTGGATCATGATACCTGGCGGACCACGATGAATAATCCATGGATGTCCCATCATCGATTGGTTGGTAGACTGTTTTCATGACTGCAAAGTCTCCCTGAACTCTGCCCCTTTTTCTTGCAGCAGACATCTCAGAAGTTATTGGATGTCAATGCCTGCCAGTGCTGCCCTTGATTTGGTTGCTGTCTCAGCTTGAATAATTTCAAGACATGATGGAGGGCAAATTACAAACCAGTGAATTTCACTGCCTTGTTGAATTGCATTGTTTTGTCATGCAAGCATGGTGAAGGTATACCAAACCATATCAGGTGTATGTATATAGGGTATTGTAGGGGTTTGGATAGTGTCCCAAAAGAACTGCCCGGACTAACCTTCCCGCTATAAATCTGTGAGCGCATCTTGCTCATCCCTAATGGAACAAAGCCAAAGAACATGCATATAGAGTTCTTCAGCATGACACAAAACAAAGCTAAATTATGCATTGCATGAAACAAACACACGTTGCTAAAACACACATGTTATATGATACAATGATACGACACACACACACAACAAACACACAACAAACTACAAAAAAACTACCAACCGCATGCTTTCTGAACAGCATGTCAATACGAACGCCATCACTGCGCCAAGCGGTTTGACGCCATCACTCGGCGCATGGACATCTGAGGACGACCGGCGGACCGGCGCAAACGGTACCGTACCGGGCGGCACGTGCCGCAGCACACGGGTAGCTACGAATCCAAGTGCAGGGGGGCGAGAAGCCGGTGAAACCGTGTGCAACGAGAAGTTGTGGTTCTGAGTCCTGGTAGCTAAGTGGGGGGACAACTAGATCACTTCAACGGATAAGGATGTCCCCACCACCATGTTGGTTTAGGGGTAAAAACCAACTTATGCCAAACCTGTCTTGACCGTCTCCAAGTGTCTCTGCTTGTGTCTTTGCTTTCTCTTGAGAAGAAGGTCTCTTCCTGAATCACATGCCTCATCCGCGCCAAGCAAGATGCCAGCAAGGCTGCCTTCGACAAAGGGTTGGACTGCACAACAACATGCCTGTGGAGAGAATGGTACAGAACAATGATCGCCAACATGCTTGCTTGGACAGTGAAATAAATTCGGAATCAACTGGTATTTGTTGTCCACATGGAATGTGTCTCTGTCCATGGGTTTCTCCCCACGCTGCGGCCCGGCATGTCTGTCTACAACGCAGAAGAAAGCACTTCTCAAGGCCAAAACCCCCCGCAAGCCCTGCGGGAAGGGTGGTTGTCCCATTGAGAGTCCTAAGCCAGAAACTCCATCCCAACTTTTCGACTGCACATCAGTGGCGCGGCACGCAGTACGCGTGTTCACGTGTGTCGCTTCAGGGGAAGTCGGCATCCCATTTTGTTGGTGCACCTGACTGTGGGAGATGCAATGAGTGGGACACTCAAAATGAGGATCATACTAGGCCTTTCTAACCGAGGAGTTTTGATTGTATAATATGTATGTTGCCTTATGTTGCAGAATGATAAACTAATGCCGTTCACAACCAACAGCTGCTTTGCTTACTGTTTGGTAACTGTTGGTTCCAAGTCTAAGTCGATCATTTTGGCCAGATTGTGCGTTCACGATGAACAAAAAGCAGCTTTGCTCCTCAATCAATGATTACTCCACAACAACCAACACTCTTCGTTCGCAGAAGGGGTCGCCAGTCGTTCGCTTCTGTGAAGGGTGTGATGGAGCCTACCAGCTGGTACAAACGGGTCCTTCGCAATACATACTCATCCTGTCTCAACTTGATGCGAAACATGATCGTTTCGGCAGGTTGCAGGACCAGAAAGGAGCAAAACATCTTACAGCAACAGCTGCATGAGCATGATCACTCAGAAGTAGGCCATTTGGCTCGTCGGCCGCGCGTGATCTTCGATGGAACGGCACCGAGATGGGTGTCCATCAGAACAGGAAAACCCCACAGTTCGACCACTGGGACAATCAAAAAGCAAACTAAATCCAATGGTTGGGAGGTACATGGAGGTACCGAGGTACCCCCATGAAAATACAAACCATTACAAACCCAAGTGGTCACCGTCTCGCACGTGGGGGTCTTCCTCTTGACTCACTGCCGCCGAGGCTCCTCGGCACCAAGGTGCAACGTCGCCCCAAACCTCAAAGCGCTCAGCAACAATGCCAAGGGTTAACGGATGGCACGACCCACGTCGATTCAAGAAGAATCGATGTATGAGCTTGCCAAATCACCTCGTTTTTCCTCACAGGTGAGGGGATACATACATCATGTGTCATGTGATAACAAATGCATTCTATCCGAGTCTATCCCATTTCCAGTAACAGTGGATGATGATTAGCAAAGGCCTTTATCTAAAATAGTGATGTTCGTGCTGATCGACTGTTACAGGTCATAGGACAAACAACCCAATGCATGCTGTATAGTCGGTCAAGGTATGTTGTGTTCAGTACCCCAAACCTCTGGAGCAGTGCTCTCGAGGCAAATCATGGTTTCAACGCTCCAACATTCTTACCATTTTAAAGTAGCACAAACTGTAGTCCCAACGCCACGGAATACGCCTACTTCCTTGTTAAACAATAACGGCTCCTCTGGTGGATACAGGGTGCGGAATGCAAACAACAAAGTGCGCAAACATCTTCCGAGGGCAAACAGAGCAGTGCCAACACATGTCAATGTATATACTGTAAAATATCAATATGATATCTACACATCCCCTGTCATAAGGATTTCAACTGTTGTCAAATAGAGTCACGGCAACACTTGTCCACTCACTTCACACAAATAGGGGAGAGTGCCATCCAAACTCACTGGTAATAGTCAACCACAAATTTGTGGATAGCTAGTTTCAGCCACAGTTGAACTCGGATCACTCATCTGAAGTGCCGGGAGGCAAGCAGTAGAAAGGCATTCGGATATAGATCCGCCCAGTACCAAACCACCGCAGCAAGGTCTCGAAGAATGTGTGGAGGAACCACCACCAGGTCAGAATGATCCTCAGATATGTCACATGACTTCAATGACTTCTGCTGTTTTGTTGCACCAACAATGGTTCTATACCGTCCCCGTATCTTTTGGTGGCGCATCCCTGACTCACTTCGTGAATACCCAACTCCCTCGCATTCCCTCGCTGGGCGGCGCGGAAGCGCCGAAGCGCCCAGAAAATCGACGGAAAAAGTGGCACAAAGCCATCAAACTGCCAATCCGTTTTACGCAGTTCTTTGGAAGTGGTATGTGGTGTTGTTGAATTGTTTCCAGAATGTACATGTACATGTTCAGCCATCTGACATATGCCAGCACATGCCTCCTTGTTTGAGTGGTCATTTCACAGGCACAAACCCTTCCATACTCCCTAATGTCGCTTGCCAGGAAGTAGGTTAGTTTAAATAAGCTTAGCTGAATCTACTACGTAAGTTGGACTTTAAAATACCTAGATCTTCAGTCCGGCACTTTTGCAGGGTCCGGCGCCGGACTTCCAACTCCGGCGTTTTTCTGGATTTGGTCCGGCAGTTTCTTCAAGTCACTTTATGTGGATTCTCAAGGCTTTGTGGTCCGCATTTCTTTAAAGGTAAACCCACTACTGATGCAATGATTTTGCTTGCAAAGTGTGCCCGTTTGCCTGTTCCGATGGTTTCTCATTTCACCGGTTTGATCATGGCTCACACTGGATCAATCAGATCCGTTTAGGTGATCTTCTAAATGACATCGGATGAAATCGGTACAGTGCGATGCACGTGTTGAAACACCTAAGTGGATGTACCTAATGAAAGAACATAGGCAAAAATGTGCTCCCATTGTTTCAGGATGTCGGGGCGCTGGGATATAGTTCTAGCTGCGCAGGTTTGCAGAGCCTGCCGGACAAGTTTTGGGCTGTGGAACATGTGTTGTTCAGAATGTCAAATCTTTTGCAGCGAGTTGCTATAAGATGGCGCGTCGTAACTCCGGCGTAATTTCCGTAACTCCGGCATAATTAATTTTTTGGACTCAGTCTTCTGAAGGTTTTGAATTTTGAAAAGTTTTTCAAGAAGAGCTTTGACAGGAACCATGAGTTCTGCTATTTTATTGGGGGGGCCGTCCTGAGGCTAGCGTTAAAGAAACATTAGAAAACATAAGAATCATGGAGAGCAACCCACTTTGTAAAAGAACTTTAGAGACACGGTCGCAGAGAAAGAGGGGTTCCTTGCCACATACTCCTTGGTTTCTTCTTGGAAGTCTTTGCTTCGGCACAAGTTTGCTTATATTTTGTGATGGGTCTGGTCTTAGGCCATTCGGAAGATGGGCGAGGGCAATGGGAACGGGAAGGCTCCAGTGTTGGGTTGTGGATTGAGTGTGCTCCAGAAAAAAATACTCGTGGCGCAAAGGCAGTTTGCTTGTGTATGATCCAACCTTTTATCATCTCTGTTTTTCTGAATTTTGGATCCGGATGTTTTTCAGGTCTCCGGTTTTTTTTCGGAATCCGGCGGAAAATTTGGCCGGATTGAGGTCCGGCACTTTTTCCACCCAAAGGAGGATCCAGGTATTTTGCAAGTACTTAACATGGACTTATCTCAGTGGACTTAGCTTGCTCAGTAGATTTAGTTTGGACTTAACTCTGTGTATATATATATATAACTATATATAACTGTATATATATATATACACATTCTCCAAGAGGCAAGTGTGTTTAGTGAGATTGAAACATGGATAGAACTGAGAGCTGCCTTCGTGCCACGACGAACCCATTGAATTTCTCGACTGTCCTTTGTGTTGAGTCAAACGTGCTATCTCATTCTGAAAGGAGGTGTTTGTCAGAATTTGTTTCTGTGTGACATTCGGTTGCTTGAATACAAAATATATTTGCATATATCTGTCAAGTGTTGTTCTGACACATCTTCCTTCAGTCTTAAAGGGAATACATCTGCAACATGTTCTGACACACTTTCCTCTCAGCGGCAATGAAGTCCACTGCGTGCATGTCTCCGTGCGACAAATCGTTTGATGAAGAACACTACATTTACTTCAGACCTAGCTTGGACTTAGCTACGCTACAACTATTCCATCGTGGATAGTTAAACAAGGGTCCAGCGATTCCCCAGGACCGGCGACGGTTCCAGTGATCAGTGATCAAAGACCTTGGTTCCAAAATGGTGCGACATGTGGATGTACTTTGATGGGTGACCACCGCAAAAAAAACCTAAATACGTGGTTGTCTAGGCCGGAAACACTGGCACGATACGATACCAACGCTGGTGTCTCTCGGAGAATACACGACCCCAACACAGTCAAAGAATGTCGACGATAACCGGAAAAACAACACAGCAATACATCACTGGTGCCTCTGTTCCACACGGTTTCACATGTACACACCTGTCTTCTTGAGGCTCTCCATCACCCACCATCCCTCATTCAAACTGCGCCGGAAGATGAGGATCAAACGCAGATTGAACTTAACACTGACAAACAAGTAGCCTTACACATTTTCCCCATGTGTTGAGGAGTCCCTTGACCATGGGAACCGCAACCCCTGGTCCCCATGAATGGGATTATAATATACTATAATGTTACTATAATTAGTCGACCAGGTTTTTGCTGAACTTGCAGGGTTCCAGAAACAAAAACGCATAGGGTTCTGGCCATGGCCATGGTTTACCAGTTCTACATCATCATCATCATCATCATTATCATCTTGATATTTGTACGGTTCAAACACAACTGCCAGGGCATACCCTGAAACAAAACACAGTCCCGTTGAGACTCTGTGCCACAGCCCACACAGATGCTTGAGGAGACGGGTGCCAAAGCAACAAATTGTTACCAGTCAATGACATGTTTAATGTTTGTTCTTGAAACTGGGAACTGCTCCTTCAGATCTCTGTTGCAAACGGCAACGGGAATCAGCTGGAAGTCACAACATGTGCTATGGCCCCTGCAAAACGGTGACTCAAACAGAATGATTCAGAATGATGCAGTGCCTTCCACCCTTTCAGGGTGGGGGGACCTTCCAAGAGCCCCACCCTAGATTTTTCAGCTTTGTCAGGG